CTAGCAACACGGCAGCACAGACCATGGCCCATCCGACACATACACCTGCACCTTTCCACACTTACACTTCAGCACCAAAGTCTTTACCTCCTCTCTGGAAATTTATTCCCTGGTGTGTAGGTAACACTGGGGCCAACATCCCCTGCCCAGCAGTCACTCAGGTGACTCTGACAGGTTTTACTTTGCAGTTTGCTTATCACTTGATTTCTCTAAAACAGAATGAAATGCAAAATTTTTTAACCAACAAATCTTCTGTTAGTTATGAGCCCTTCATTTTGTGTACCATTCGCCAGCTTGTACCTCAGCAAAAAGTCTTTCAGCTTCGTACAGATAGGTGTCACTGAATCCCTTCACCCAGTTTTGTAAGAGAAGAGACAGGGACCGTATCCCTGGAAAATGTAAAAAACCTACCGTCAAAGTGCAAAGCCAGGAGCTGCTACTCAGTGAGCACACACCAATTTCCTACGCAAAGCCCGGGCTCTCCAGAGCATGACATGAAGCTGCTCCAGGCAATGGTCACAGCAACGCTGCGCAGAGGCAGTTGCTTCTTTAAGTCATACCTCTGTTTTGTAGAAGAGTTTCATTATCAGCGAGGTGGGGGTGCGGGAGTAAGAGAAAATGAAACGCGACACAGTTTCTAATCGTTACCCATTCAGCATGCTGAGTGAGGTACCACTCATAGAAAAAATAATACATTACAGTTCAGTATTAACGTAAAACAAGGGGAGCAATTAAGGATGCACAGGCAACCCTTAACCTGGCACCCCATAATTTGGGTTCCTACCTCCACAGCCCTAACCTGGCTTTACCATATTCCTTTCCCATGAAGGCACAGGCCCAACAACTTCTCCGCGTACACCTGGCAGACAGCTGTCTCGGCGCCTGCAGGACCAGTTACCCCAAGCCCGCAGAGCTCCGCGGGCGAGAACCTCTATACAACGTTCAGGTAACGAACTACAGAACCGAAGGTGTTCTGCGCTTGCACAACCCAAGCTAGCTTCTTGAAATCAATATAAAGATCTTTAGATCAGGTTGATGTGTCACCCTAAAGGATGCAAAATATCAAACTTATCAAATGTAGATTCCCAAAGATAGGAATCTATTTTCTTGGCCAATATGTTTACTGTAAAATACATTTACTGTATTTCTTACGGTAAGTCAGCAAGAGAAACACTAAGCAGAAAATGTGATGCAGTTATTAAAAAGCACAGTTTTCATTTCTCCTACATGATCAGAAAACCAGCATAGGAACTGGTTTTAATTTCCTTTTACGAGAAGAGTCCACTGTTCATTGCTGGGTTAGAGACAACTCTATTTTTTCTACGTAACAGAAAATTTAAGATATCAGTGTCATTGCTCCGTACATCTTTTTTTTTTTTTCCAATATTGCAGAATTCTCTGTATTTAAAATGTAATTCACATTTAATAGCCCCTAATATTTAAAAGTATATAAAAGTAAGTACATTGTCTGCATAAATAAAGTAAAAAAAAAAAAATATATATATATATATATTTTCTACCTGTCTGGAAAACCTTCATTAAAATCATTATTTTACAGGAAACCAAATTGTATCAGTCATTCTTTACAGTAAATTCATCTATATAAATAATTATAGCAGTGCTTTAATTTCCACTCTATCACAACTTCACAAAAACAATGGCACTGCAGAAATTGTGAATTATTTTTGCAATATTATATTTGCAAATTCTGTAAATTTTTTGCAATAAGAAAATGCTACTGTTGAACCCCCTTATTTCCCAGAACACAGACTTGGAAAAATTTTCAGAGTTAAATGAAAGATCTCATTCAATAATGGAGATTCTGTGGAAATCAGTGGCAAAACTTCAGTTGGCTTTAAGATTTCAGGCTCAGGCCCCAGCTGTTTCAGCTTTATAACATTTATGTCACTAAAAGCATATGCTACTGTATTTTTCAATAAGTAGTATAAATCTGAGAGCGTATTAGGTATTCTTTGCTCTCAATTATATCACATTTCTTTGTAAAATGGTCAAGTAACAAAACTCCCTATAAAAGAAAAGCATTGACTGTCAAACCAAAAAACCCAACAAAATAAATGAAAAGATGAAGGTTTACAGCCATGGTGAAGCCATTTAATAAGATGGATTAACCCAATTTTATTTTTGAGCCCTTCGAACAATGAACAATCTTGTAAGATATAATTGCCACTGGATGACATAACTACAAAAAAGGATAACGTACTTTGGACTGTCTGACAGGTCTGGAAGATTATCTTTTCTAATGTAAACCTCCGGTCAAATCTCAGCAACAGTAAATCTAATAAACTTTACTAAGACCTTTAACTCTTTCTCGTGTCTTTGCTTGACTTACAAAAATATGTATTTTTGTAAAGTTCCCATGGATTTCTCCAAAATATTTTTTTAATTTTACAATCCCTGGGTAACTTCCAGGGATTTATGTTATTATTAATTAACACCACACAGGCTAACCAAGATCCCCAGCTCAAACTGTTAGAAAGTAACATGCAATTTCACGTGAATTAAGTAGCACAGACATTCCAGCAAGCAGGGTAAATAACCTGCTCTTGAAACAGTGCCGGAACAACATGCAGATTTGAACATCTCTATTAATTGCAACTTCTCTGAATTCTCTCTGTAATTCACATATAGGGCTAAGAGTATTTTTACCAAGCTGAAGTGGTCAACTTCAAAACTACTGCAAAAACAACTACCTGCAAAGCCTGCCTCATTAAGAGTTAATTATCATTAAACGTGTCCATTGACAGTTAAAACTGAATGTAGTATCAGGCACTACTCAAAAAACATTATCTATAAAACTGTTTGCACATACAATATACACAAAGCCACCAACAGGGCAGATTTTTATGCCCGTGTAGTAATGCATTTATAACACTACAGGAAGCGAAACCTGCGTGTTTTAAAAACCCGTACCTTGCCCTCTGCACCTCCAGCTGGCTTGTCCACCTCCTCCTCCTGTGCTTTCTGCTTTCCACAAGAAGAACTAAGCAAAAGATTAATAAAAGGACTTTTGCGAAACAAGGCATCTTGCTGGAAATCGGAGCCGGGCACTCTGCACTCCAGTAACCTCCTGTAGTACAAGTCCCCCCAGGTTTAAACATTGAATCAACTCTAATTGCGGCGGCGCGTGTTGGTCGGCAATCAGTGGTAGAAACGCTGCTGTCCCGACGTGATGTTTTTGACAGGCTTTCAGGGGCTTCTCAAAGCTTTTCCCTCGTCGCCGCTTAATGATTGGCCATTACTCATGAAGTTTGCCTCACCAAACATTTCCACTGGGTCCTAAAGGATACTTACTAAAGCCATTATATAAAAAACCTGCAATTCTGCACGCCAGCTTTTTGCTCAGTCCCCTAATCTCAGGACAGTGCTATCCTTCTGCCAGACTGTAAAAAAAACAGGCTGTCCCTTTTCATGAGGCTTTCCAGATTTTCTGTTCCTTTGCATGGCATCTTTTCAACTGGAAACTGCCTGTGCCACGTTTCAGACATGTATATCATTGTAAAATGCACATATTTTGATGGTTTTACAGCAGTTGAGATTTCCAGTTTAGTCTGTTGAAGATAAAAGATGAGCTATTTCCTCTGAAAATGATTTTATTTACTGTTAACTTTTAAAGAAAAATTAAAACACAGTAACCCCCCAAGTATCTATACATGCAATAGACTCTTTACATAAATCAAGTCACCATTAGCATGTATTTTTTCAAATAGGTATTTGCACAGTCAGGCATTTTAACTTTTATTTTAAAAAAAAGCTTGAAATAAAAAGCTACAGAGCAGCTATTTGTTTAATCACAAGGAAGAGGCTGTTTCCAGAAACCCTTCGAAGCTTATTTTCTCATAGCCCACTCAAAGGGCAATGCAGACTGCCTCTTTGCAGAAGACTTACCTGCTTTACTCATACCCAGTGTGTGGTACAGGTACGAGAGCAAAAGTTTGCTCGGCCCAGCAGCGAGTCTCTAGGAAAAGCAAAGCACATTCAGAGCAAAGCTTCCAGAGGAGCAAGCGGGTCAAAACCCAGAGAAACTGTCTTTTGGGCCAGACGTCTCTTCCAGGACTCTTCTGTGAGCCCAGGTTTGCGATACTTGAATAGAACAGGTATTCAAGCAACGCACCAGCTAGGAAACGCAGGATCTGTAGAGAGGTTTTTTGGGTTTTGAGGTTTTTTTCCTAATTTCTAATGAAATAAATGTACAAATTAGGTAGAAAAACACATCAATTAATATATCAACATCAAATTGTTCTGCAGCAGAATGTGTAAGTAACTGCTGAACTGGCTGAAAAAACTTCATTTGTCTGAACTTCTTAAGAAAACTATTTTTTGATCTTTGTTCCATTGTCCCTGCAAACAAGGTTATCAACAATCCACAAGAAGTGCTAAAAAAGAACTCAGATTTTGGGTTTGTTTGGGGGGGTGGGGGGTGTTGTTGTTGTTTTGTTTGTTTGAATTTCCACATCCCCCTTAGACACACAACGGGCTTTCCTTATTTTAGAAGTTATAACTTCTTTAATGTTTCAGAACACTAATACGTACTATATTTAACAAAATTTAGGAAAGCTGTAGGTAGCTTGATAAATTTGCTGAGAAACAGGATAAGAATCTCAGTTAAGTCAGTGCTATCATGTCCAACAGCAACAAAATGAAAGTTACCTAAATTTCATTGTCTTTGAAATAAACATGCTAGAACACATTTAAATCTGATCAATAATACAGGAGGAAAATTATGCCACTGATTGCTTTCTTCTACCTTCACTGCAATACTTAAACATTCACAGACAAAACCTCTCAAAACCCTAGCAATTGTAGGTCTATTGCCTGTGTATGTGATTGCACAGCATTCGTGAACATTACCAGTTGTTTATTTTTTTAATAAACTCATAATGCAGAAAGCCTCTGGGTCCGATATTGATTTTAGGTTTTAAAAAAGGAAACAAAAAAAACCCAAAAGGCCACGTGATACTTGAAATGTAAGCGAAGACTGGCTTGAAACTCTTTATTATTACCAAGGTTTTAATAAATATTTCTCTTAAACTCTCATATATATGAACATGCTTAAGTCTAATAAGGTTTAAATTTTCTTTAGTAAATAAAACCACATATGAAACACTCAGTTCAACACATTATGTATATTTCTGGTATAATTAAAAGACAATAGCTCTGGGTAAATAATTATATTACATATTTATAACTATTGCAAGAATAGACATGTTTTATATAATCTTCAAATTTAAAAAAAACAAGATATACAATTGAGAGTATTAGAAGAGGACATTCAAATCTTGCAAAAGATTATCCAATCTTTCTTCCAAAAAATAAAAATCAAAATAATGCAAGTAGTTTTCTGGCCCCTTCTTTCCTCCCCTACTCCCTTCTCCCTTTCACACGCACAAAGCAGCATCACAACCAATTTGTATGTGCTCCCCCTCTAGAAATGTGTCATGGTAAACAGAAGTGGTTACAAAACTGTATCCTCTCTAAATTAAGAGTTCACTGGACACAAACACATCGCAGCGTTTCATTTTAGAATTCCTTCTCCAATGTCAAATCTTATACTAACTTAGATGGGGTGATGAATTGCATTTATGTTCCACAAAAAAGTGAATCAACCACTTTTTTTAAATTGTCTTTTTCTAGTTGATAAATTACTCAAATTGACTCCCCTCCCACATGCCTTAACGTTACTATTCCACTGCAGTGTTTCTCCAAGTATCTAGTGGGCACTCAATTAACACTTTTGGTAGTTAAATGTCCAACTTTGCTTTTCTTACAAGTAATGTATCTGTAGGTACATTAACATTCATAAGGACTTAAGCGCAAATACAAAAAGTAACCTTTGTAAACAGTTCTCATGTCATACCCAATACAGAATGTTCAATGAAACATTCAAGTCACCGCTGTTACAACAGAAACAACCTTATAACTCAAATATATACTCATTAGCCAAACATATTCTACGAAATATGAGAGCTGCCAATGCAAAAGTCAGAAGGACAATCAGAACAGTTGATCCAGTGTTGTTCATGTTGACTCTTGGCTGCTGTACCCGATTAAAGTCAGTTGAAGACGGAGCCCGCCTCTGACTCTGCTGCTGGGCACGGCGCTGCCGAGGACTCATAGACGTGTTAGTGGACACAGGCGGAGTATGCTCTTGACTGGCTGCTGCACCGCTATTCTGAGTTTCAGACTGGAAAGGAAACATGGAGAGTTGTGAGGCACGACAGTGCATAAGATTAGCAAGGAATAAAATCATTAGGACTAAAATGTACTCTTCAGATAATTGTTACTACTTGAAAGCCTGATAATACATGTCACTAGTAGTTACGAGATAGTTATATCCATCATTTTTGTCCATACACTATCTTGAGAAGAAGTCTATTTCAAGCTGAAAATTAGCAGTTCTAAGGACAAGAAAAGAAAAGTCTGAAGAAAGTCTGTCAAACAATATTTGAATCCTAGATTCGTTCCAAATCAAGACATTTCAAATATCTTTGTCTAGGATTTGCTTAACTCTTTGCAGTTCAAGAAATCTTTAATAATCCTCCAGATAGTTAAGTCTCTGAGGATTTGTAACATCACCTATACTCAAGAGGAAACAAGTTGGGGAGGGCAAGAATGGAAGGAGAGAAGTCCAGAGAACTCTAACGAAACAGTACTGCACTGCTTCCTGTGGACAGCGGGGTCCAAAAATCTGCCCTCATCACCACCACTGGAAACAACAAACCAAAAGCCCTGAACACAAAACACCCAAGCGATTCCAGCACAAATTATTGAGCATTGTACCTACGCATGCACATACCTATTGCCCTCTACTGGTCAAACCTCAGTCTACCATTACATGTAGTAAAAAAAAAAAATAAACGTTGGCAACTGATGTTCAATAATACTCAGGAGAGTATTATTCTAAAGAAAATCATTAGTCAGTTTGTAAGATTGAAACTATGGGTTCTGATATTCCACTGGCCTAATCCTGCCTGCAATACCAAAAGGCTCAAACTTCCAACATTTTAATATTAAAAATAGTGACACAGCACAGTTGTTGGAACTAAAAATTTTGACAAGGTTCAATTTTAAAGTGTTTAAAAGAAAAGCAGCCCTGACAAAAAGTTTCTTGTTTTTTTTTTTTTCCTTGAAGTCTTCTTTTCAATTCTCAGAACAGTTTGCAAGTATTCCCACTTAAAGCAACCCACAGCTATTTTCCAGAGTTAGCTGTCCCTCCCCCCTGCCTTCTAAAAGACTGATTATCATTACAACAGGTAAAACTAGAATTCTGGACATTTTATATTTGCTTCTGAGCAAAAACCTTTTAATGGACACAACATCCATAACCCTAAGCACTGTTTTGGCCAGCTACTATATCCACAAAAGACATCCTTTCCACGTGGCCAGATAGGGAACGTCCTCAACTGTGTATCAGGTTTGATGATCCACGAGACAGTAAGTAGTACTTGGTCCTGTGACTCTTTGGCTACGTATTCTGCATGTGGGAGAAGAATCTCCAAACTTCCACCTAGTTAGTGATTTAGTTAGCCCAGGGAAGAGACCTTCCTTTCCTACCTCCTCATCATTAGTATTTCCCACTGTTTATTATCTCCAAGGAAGTACTGGTGTAATTACTCACCACATTTGAGAACTTGCCTGTTTACATAGGTTTCTTGCCTCAGCAAGCAAGCAGCTTGGGTAGCTTCAAAGAAAAATGTTTTTAAAAGGTTTATTTTATCAGCAGAGACAGCCAAGAACACCACGAGCAGCTTGCCATGATTTCCACTACACTGCAGAAGGAAGTCATTCTGCTTCATACTGAACCGACTTGAAAGTTCCTCATGCCAAGGAAAATAAAGACTTAGGGAAACTGAGCCTTTGAAAATGAAGTTTCTAGATTCATCTACGCTCCCATTTTTCAGAAGGGGGGAGGGAAAGAAGTGAATTCAGGAAGCAAGAACTGCAAATTCAGCAAAGTTATTCTTCTTAAAGTAGCTTTTAAAAAAGGGAAGAAAAAGTCTAGAAATATTCCTGATCCTTCATACTTACTAACTAAAGTAACTAGCACCAGCTGTCAGACACCTGGGTTTCTTCCCAACACTGCAAATTTTTAATATAAAAATAAAACAGAAAGACCCTGTTCTGAACGAGACAAGGTGCCGTATACTGACATGAACGGAGCTGTAATTCAAGAGAAACCTCACTGACAATTGCAAGGCTTTAAAAAAAAATTTTGGAGGAAATTATTTAGATGCATCAGGGCAGCAGAAGACTGACTGCTTCACCCAAAGCTGAGCTAATCCACCGCCTTGGGATTCCTAACGTAATCAATGACCAAGTATTAGCAGACATGCAGAAGCAAGTTAGGTAACGATCACTCCTTTCGTATCTGATATAAATCTGGGACCAGATGCTAGCATATCTTAAATAATACATACATCTAGATAAAGATTTTTTTGTTTGAAGACTTATTTGTTAAGAATCCCAAAAATGGCAGATGGGCTGTATTATAAATTAAAAAAAAAAAATCACAATAATCTTGCCTTCACTTACAGCAAGTTTTTAAATTCTCCTTAAGCAAAAATGTCAAGATTTTTAGACTAACGCAACACCTCACATGACAATTTCCATCCAATTTTAAGTCATTTTCTGCCAAACCATACTGGAAGTGTTGGGGGTGACGGCTTAATAGACTAAAAATAAAAAATAAGAGCCACCTTGTAGCCACCTTTAGCATCTGATCTTTGCAGTCATTGAATATGCACTTTATGTGTCATATTATTTCTGATGCTTCTGAAACTGTTAGGACTGGTAGAAAACTTTGCTCCAAGGACATCTGAGTTTCATAAATAAGGCTAGTTTAGTAAAATGTACATATATTAGAATTAACAAAAGTTCTATCGTGTAACAAAATGCAAGTAAGGAAATCTACACTATGTTCAGTCTACTGAAGAATAGTAGCATTCACTACATCACTTATGTCTCCAGGCCGTTATTTTAAAAAATTTTATCGGAATGCTGGAAGTATTAAATAATCATCTTGGAAGGGATGTTTTTAAAAAAAAAAATATAGCAAACTGAGCACTCAGAACCTTATAAATCCTCTGGGTTACTGAAGCCTCCTTCAGTTATACTCATGATCTCAGAGAGATACAGAAATAAGAAGATAAAAGGATAGGTGAAATACTTGCTTGTCCATGTAACTTTCAACTGAAGAACAGCTGAAGTTTGACACAGCATGGCTTAAAGGCTAATAGAAAATATGTCTATTTTTTAATGAATCGAAGTCAGGCCAAGTACTCCTGATTGCCAAGACATGTAGAATTGTTGCTGTGTTATTACAAAACTTAAGACACCACTTAATAGTGATAAAAGGAAACACTTTTTAACAATATATCCTTCAGAACATACGATTAAAACTAGGGGCTTCTATAAGTCTCATGTATCGGAACATAGCCTCATTTTCTCACAGAAACCTCCCTCATCAGTTCAAGATTAGTTGACTTCAGCTACACGGTTTATTTCATCACTCCTCATTACAACGCTTCATCTGGCCGGTGTATTACTGCAGGACACTATTATAGTATATTGTTTAATAACAGGTGTACTGAGGCTTAATATATTCCCAGGTTATCAGAAAAGAAGTCTAACCACAGTTTTTAGCTTGTCACTTTATAATTCTTATCAAGTATGAATTTTATTCATCAACTATAAGCACCAAGGTGGGATATCATTCCACATCAATACACTAAATGTAGGTTGCTACAGGTGTGGTAGGAGTTCAGACTCCCGCAATAGTCCACGTGGATTTAGTCGGTGCAATCAGGGGGACGGACAGAGCGATGCAGCCTACCAGCCTCTACTTCTCAGTAAGCTGCAGTGGTCTCTAGCCTCCACTAACTAGTCCCATGGACTGTGGTGAGAGTTTGGGTACCAACATTTACGTGACCACTGACGTAGAAGGTGACTTAATCTGGACCTGAGTCCAACCTGAGTATCTACAATATATTAATTTTAAAAAGTTCTTTTGCTCAGATGTGGAAGAATCATTTTCTTAATGCTAAGGGCAATTACTTTTATCAAGCCAACTTCCAGCAGTACCTTGCTTGCAATTTGAATACTCAAACAGGAGTAATGTACCATTACTTTGTCCTGAGTAGCCATCAACAGCTACTACAAATTAAAAAAAAGTGTATATATATTATATATATTGTCAGAAGTAGTCTAGTCAGCGGTCTTTTCTGCACTGGCTTCAGACTCCTCACAAGTACCATGCTGCATAATGCTTTAGGTAGCCTATTGTTTTAGCCTTAATAATGCTTAAAGCCTGTTCTTTGCAGCTCTGTATCCTTTTACCCAAGCTGCTGTGGAAGCATTTTCCAGAGCCTCCATGGCAGCATTGTTCCTTTTATTGTTCTCATGCTGTTGTACTCATTGCCTTGCACCTGCAAATCTTGATAATGTTGTTATGACAAGTTCTCCTGGGAGGCAACTATCACTGGTATAAGAATCACCCCCCTCCCCTCCTTTTTCTTCATTCGAAGATAAGTCATTTAAATACTTCTAAATATTCTCTAATAATGTAGGTGCACAAAATTTTAACAGCCAACGTGCAACATTTGCACTAGTGTTGCCCACTTCAGTCATTGCTAAAAGTACCACGAATGGGAACCAATGAGCAGGGTCTTGATGAAAAGTCCATAGTACTAGGTGAAAAGCACGGCAAAAAGTCATCTTTATCCTCACCACGTGCTGTGCTTGAGAGACAACCTCTATCCCTCTGTCAGCTTTCTAAACAGCAGGAACTCAGGAAATACATATTCAACATTCCACTGGGAAGGTATTTAGTCCTCAGTTAGAGAGCAGACCAAAGAGGACACTGTAGTAATTTTAAGTGTGGCATCAAGATACTGCCTGTTGGTCTGGCAACATGACAAGAGAAGGTGGGGAAGGAGGGAAGTGACCTAGAAGATGAGGTCAGGTAGGGAGAGCCCAAAAGTCAAGAACACGAAGTGCACCTCTCCAACAGTATAAACACACCCATGCAACAATTACATCACACAGTAAGTCTCTTCACAGGCTAAAATCTGTAAGAGTAAAGTACTGAATAACACAACAGTTCACACTATGATAGCATTGCTGTTAATGTAACAATTGCCATTACTAAAACACAAACTACTATTTCGAATTGAGTTTTGAAATCTAAAAAAATATGCTTTATTGAAATACTGTAAGTCTTGGTGCTTCTTTAGTGAGTGAGGCTATATCCCTTTTTCTAAATGAAAGCTGACAGAAGGGAAAGTTAAATCAAAGTATCTTTTCTTCTGATGGAATGAGAAATTCTCTCTTCAGGAATAAGGCCCCGTATGGAACAGGGGGAATGGACTCAAAGCCATGCCACGCCAGAGACCCATCTCAGTGTGCTCTTCACACAGGCATTCAGTTAACCCTATCCCAGGAAGGGCATCACTGTACTCACAATTGTCCTGCCATTAATTCATTGCAAAAATCTCTGTCCTTTCAAGCAGCTTAAAGGTAAAAATCATGGAATAGACAATTGTTGCTGGAAAGAACAAACTTGCCCATGAAGCAATCTGTAGATTGGCTTTCCCATAGTACAACACAGCCTACAGATTCCCTCCTCTTCACCTACAGGTAGACCCTTTCCTTAGCACCTATTTAGCATCATGTTTTTAATGAAGACTGATTACAACTGTTCCAAGAGCAGCAGAAAGGTAACACTCCATTCTTCCTGCAGGAGTACTACTATTTTTTTCCTCTGTATTGTGTAGCAAGACATAAGGTCCCATGACTTCAGGGTAGGCATATTAAATCTACTATACCAGAAGGAATTACGCAAGCTAATACAAGGATTCAGCATTGCGTCTACGGCTGCCCTTTTTATTCTCAAAGGGCATAAATTTCAAGTTCACAACAGCAAATTTTCTACAATAGCTTTTGATTACACACACATTTGTAGATTAAGTGGTAAACATTTTATCCAAGAAGGAAAAAAAAATTCTTGATGTTGCCCACATCTAACACTTACAACTTAGTAAGGTAGAATTAAGTCTTTACACAAGAAGAACTAACCCAACAAACTGATTTTACACACGCGAGAAGCCCAACCGAGTAGAAAGGGTCTGCGGTTTGTATGGATGCCCTTTCATGCCTATTAGCAGATCAAGGCCTCAGGCCCTCTACTTTGAGAAGATTTCTATTAACTTTCGCATGAATAAGAACACAAAAATAGCAAGCTCAAATTCTTTAAAATAGTCTTTCCTGTTACGCATTTCTTTCTTCCACTGTGTGGCTGTAAGTTTTCACTCCCCAATGGCTCCAGAAAATTCCTAACACTCAAAATGTGGCAGCTCAGAAACACAGGTATTGCTTCAAACTCAAACTAACAATCATGAGTGTGACAGTCTGAACCCTTAAAACATAAATCCACTTTTCATCATTCACAATTTATCACATATAAATATTTTTACATACATTTATATGTTTAAAGGTCTCATTTCACATGGGACTGTTCTGCTGAAAGTGAAGTTATCATTACTTATTAAATCAGCATAATTGATTAAAACGAATTGCTTAGAAATGGGATTAATTGATCAAAGAAACCAGTCTCTTTTTCCTCAAGAAAATGCTAGCAATGCCTCGGTATTTTGGCTAGTTCTACTATATGAGCCAGGATCTGTAATAAGAATAAAAAAATAGAATTGTTTATTAAATCCTGAACAATCTGGAAAAAGCCTTATTGTGGGAAAAAAAGGATGCTATTAGCGTATTTATATTTCTACACAGCTTGAAAATATGTTGCAAACACGCAACAGATGGTCTGACGTTATTTGATGTGTTTTACATTTTTTTTTTAAATGATCTGCAGCCCCATCCTCTCTAAGAAAGACAGCTTAGCTGGGATTTGCCTGCAATTTATCAGTGAATTTAGATTGCATTTGCTACAGTCATAACAGCAGCTGCCTTGGCCCACCACCAGGCCTCGGTCACTTCCGAAACCATTATGTAAGCCCTACACCTAGCAGTATCATACTTCAAACGGTAAGAATATTTTATTAAGATGTACTTAAGAGGTTATAAAAACCAGGAAGATATCCTTAATTAATATTTAAAAGCTACAAATTACCACTGAAACATTTTTTGCCTCTGGCTAAGAATTCTATTGCAAAAACCTGTGATATATTATGCAGATGGTAAACTGTAGTACTTTAGACACTGTAATATTTTAATGAACTATTAACCCATACATTAAAGGAACTACTGGGAACAAGAATTGCTAAAAGAATGTTATTTATTGTTTTTAAGAGAAGGAAGTGAAAGCAGAGATCACTATTTCTAAAAGTGATTCAGCATACTATTTGCTAAAGTTTACACGTAGATTTTACATAAAAGTATGCAGAAGTTCTAGAAGAAACGTATGAACTACATACTCTTAATGAAGCCTCCAATCAGCTTAACAGTACCAATTTCATGTTCAGACTATGCCTGTACTTGCACTGATAAAGCTCAAAGATGAACCATACCGTTGCACTTGTTGGATCCTGGAATGCTCTAGCTGCACCATCCTGCTGGGGCTCACGTGAAGCAGCAGAGTGGTTCAATCCTGACGTGTTTGAGGGTCCAACATCAGACTTCCTGGATGAATGGACTTCTGCCTACAAGGAGTACATATGTATGCTTCAAAGACAAGATCAAAATTGCTCCAAAAAGATTTGGCTTATTTTGGAATGTGTATTTTAATGTATGGAGAATATGAAACTTACTGAAATGTAATAATCAAGTACGCCAACTGCATTTCAATTACACACCAACAGGTTCAATAAATTCTCATACTTTAGAAATAAGCTATAGATGTGCAAACATCAGTTTAAAAAACAATTTTAAGTTTGTTTGCACATAACATGTATAACATTCAAAAAACGCACAGATGTATAGAACAAAAAAGAAAATTCTTTAAAAGATCCAGGACAACATTATGCCAGAAATAACACCATTTTTTAAAACTTCTGTTTCTCATGTCCTTAAGTGAATGCTGACTACTGTTGTTACAAGTGAACTAATACAGCCTGTTTCTCAGCAGGGCTAACTAGCCTCCGGTAAGTGCTCATTTAATGTGGCTATACTGGTTCTAGTACTGAAGTTGCCTCGCAGCCAGAGTGGGTGTATATGCATGGCACTACACCGTGTCAGGCATGCATACCTCAGTTTCCAGTATTTAATTTTCAGCACAAGCAGAGCAAAAGAAAAAATACAATTCTTATAATACCACGTTTGTACGCATTTATAAAATGTCTAATAAGCATCAACTCCCAGAATTTAGGTTTCATGCTTTTGGAAATTTGAGACAAGAGATCAGTAGTGACACGTAGAAGATCATGAACAAACCTCTTGTCAAAACAGTATATATGCCTGCAATAATCCCTTGGGAATGGAAAAGGCCATCATAGTTCTGAACTGAAACACTTTACAATTTATACATATTAAAAAAAAGTCACAGCCGGATCAATTTTTATCAGCAAGCAAGTCACCTCCCAAGCCATGTATCTAGATCTCAATTCTGTAATAAAGATGACAATTCCAAATCTAATACCTGTCTTCAAATGCAGATATAAGTAGTGGTAGTAGTAGTAGTAAGAAATACAAACAGTATATTAGAAACCAACCAGTTATGGTGATAACAAGCTCATAAGATCACAAGATAGTAATAGTCTTTCATGATACTATTTTGTGTGAGGAAATTAAATTCCCTGTTTCTTGATGTATATTATTTCGGAGAATCCAAAAAATATGTCACTGAAACAACCTGAAGATGAATTTAAGATTTAAAAACACTTATAATCTGACAACACTGCTTTCCTTTTGCACTTGACTATTATGAAGTCTAATATTAGATAGGACAAGTTATGACTCAAATATGGACCAGCAAAGCAACACAGGATTATGAATAACTTAGACTGGGATTGACCTCTAGATGTCACCTGGTCCAACTCCCTCCTCAAAGTAGAGTCATGTTCAGTCAAGTTTTGAGCATCTCCAAAGCTGGAGATTCCACAGCCTCTCTGGGTATGGAGAGCTGCTGCATTTGACATTCCACAGCCTGCTCCTGCATTTGACAACTGCAGGGTGAAATTTCCTTTCCTATATCCAGTTGTAAGTTCCTTCCCTGGAACCTGTGACCACTGCTTTTCATACTTCTGCTTTTTCCAAGAAGAGCTCATTTCATCTTTACTGTTAATCTGTATTTTATACTATAAAGCACATAAATCAAATGCACATTTTGTAGTGTATCAAAGTACTAAGTCTATTATGCTAGACTGAAGTCAGACTAATATTCAAAAAAATGAAGCACTTTAAAGTTCCCAAAACTGAAATATCTTTTTTTTGTCACCTAGTCTCTCTTTTCTCCAGCCCTTACCTCTGCTTCCAGAAAAGCTGGAGAGAACACAGATATCAAGAAAGATCAACATTTTTAAATGTAATAATGAGCGTGAGTGAAGAATTAATTTTACTGCAAAATGTGCCTTGAGATGGCAACATGTAGATAAACCATATTGTTTTACAGTAATGCGTATGCTATTAGTCATCTATCTTTTCTTTTTTTCTTTTAAATGGAATGGGATTTATGGTATATAGCACCTAAAATACACAAAACAATTTGCAAGTCAATGTAAAGCTGATGAAAAAAAATGTCATTTTCTATCAAAACAGACAGGAAAAAAGGTGGAGGCTCACAGAAGCAGGAAAACTGTAATGAGGAAATGTGGTTTGTTATTTTTTCTCCTGAATTTCATGTTGTTTTCTCAACACCAGACATGGGTGCTTTTTTTTTTTTAAAGTTACCATTTTGCTTAAGACTGGTATGAAATAATTTCTCATAATCCCAGGATCATCTAGAAAAAATTAGGAAATCTCTTCTTTAAGAGAAGCAGAGATTGCTGGTATGTTTGCTAGTAGAGAGGCTCTCTCAAATTATACACTCAATCAGCAATCTGATGTTAAATCTTACCCCATAAATTGTCATGGAATTTATCAAAATTATTAAGAACTTTTGTATTCCCTGCTAGTAATTCATACTATTAGTTTACTACAAACACATCAATCGTATGCCTCAGCCTAATGTCAATCAAGCAAACAATAATAAAGTCAAGCAAAGCAGAGAAGCAGGAAGCATAAAAAACCTAATCCCTAAAATTTGATTTGAGAAAGGCAGGGAAGGCGCAACCAGAGGACAGAACTGATTTACCTTTTAAAAAACCCACAATGGATTGTAAAAGGCTGTAGAAACCTGAGGCTTTTGTTCATTTTTCCCTTGCTGAATGCTTGTTCTTAGGAGGTGGAGTTAAGTACGTGGATACATGGAACGCACCAATATTCTTTAGAGACTGATGTCCTTAAGTCTTTCATTTTAAAACTAAAAAAGGCATGAAATGTAAGTTGAGTTCTTTCTAAAAAAATTATACTCCGACATTTCTAGAATTTCTGTGATGAAGATTAGCAGTTCTTAAGTTAAAATTAATCCTACACTTTTTAACCCTTATATATTGTAAAAAAGCCAGGAGCAGGCAGTCCATTGCTTCTCTGAGTACCTCAACTTTAAAACTCTGTCCCTGTATCTCAAAATATTTTACGAAGATGAGGAGATGTTTTTTATCGTAAGTGTTATTACACACAGACCCAACCATATCAACACGTCTAGATGTGAGATTGCACAGGAATATGCAGGTCCTGCAAAACTGACGGTAATGCTCAGTAGGAGGCAATCTTTACTTTCATGGCACACAAAAAAACAGTAGTCTTTAAGACAGCATTAGGAGAACATTGGTGATAAAAGGGGACGTATTAGCATCCCTGACCTTAGTGAGGATGTATTCTGCACCAATGCCACATTGTCATAATATATTTCACTGCAGTTCCTTGCCCTCATGCACAGCAGTCTTCCTTAGCGGCTGATTTAAGAGTTTAGTGGAAAACCCATTGAAAAACGACCCTGTGCATGCAAGACATGCAATTTTCTAAGGCACGTATTTGGCTAAACAAACCTTACTTTCACTGAAACACAAGCTAGAGAACACATTTTTGGGTAACAGTAACTTCCATACCAGAGCTCAACTTTCAGTATCTTCAGCTGCAGAGTAGTTCAAAAGACTTTGCAACCATTTTTCAGTAGGAATATGTTTTACTCCTTCCATAAGCCAAAAGGGGGGGGAGGAAAAAAAAAAAAATCACAAAGGAAAAAAAAAATTTAGGTTAGCTTTGCCCAAACTTTCCTAACACTTTTATAAGACTAATTCTGGGGAATTTAATCAAGTTATTAGTGACTGAAAACATGGAAGTAAAAGCAACATAGTTAGGCAGTTCTTACCATAGTGCTCACCACTGAAATTAAAACTAATCAATCAGTGCTTGAGATGCACAATTTATTAATTAGCACATTGCAAGAGATCCACTCCTATTTTTCTCTTACAGGCTGTTGTAAAAAAACAGGTTTCCACATAGTGATTAATGACGGTTTATTAAATGATTAATGTTTCTGCAATTTACAAGTTTTTCCTCAGCAATTTAAGTTCTATACAACAGAGAAAAGTTTAAACAGTGACTTCACCTTGAAGCTAATTTGTCTGGCAAGTTCTTTAGCCTCCTTGTCCGCCTGGCTTGACACGCTTCCAGATGTTAGTGGTAAGAGGGCTGTCTTCATAGATGTGCCACACATTTCACAACAGAAGTCTTGGGACCTGGCCACAAATGACATAGCTCAGAATAGCATGTTCTCATAAAGTTCTTGTGTGCTTGCTTCAACAAGCTATTTGCAAAACAATCCAAGAAAGACAAGTGGTGTCAAGACCAGTAACTTAGTGTGATTTAGGGCGGGGGGAAGTACTTCTATCTTGAAAAAATATGTTGAGAATTATCTATACTATACATACATATTTTTCTCTCGTCATTTCGGAAAATATTAACAACTGACATATATTGCTATTATCTATACATTATTAATAATTTGTTACCATTTAAAAACTTACTTTATATCTGCAAATTAAAATTGTAAATTATGAAGATCTAACTATTATTACAAATATTAAATTGGACCCAGGAGCTTGCACCTCAAATCCAGGAATTTCAGCTTCTGCAAAAGCATTACCTTTCCTCTCTTGCACACATAATTTGTCTATAGGGCACACTGCAGGCAGCTCTCCAAGCCAGCAAGAAACCACACAGCCTTGATAGTACGCTATCAAGACCAACCCACTAAACCCTACCTCTCAGCAGGGTTTATTAGCTTTGACTCAGTGCCATGCTAACAGGAAAGTTGCAGCTTCCGATTGGCTCAGAGTACAGGCAGAATAAGCTCACATTTGCCTGTAAAATGAAGTACTAGTTACAATTTGGAATACAGTAACTTTGCTTATAAGATAGGGATATGGTCTTTCAAGTACCTTCTCCTTCCCAGATGGGGAAAGGAGAAAGTCCGTAAAAACCTCACAGGTATAAGATTTCATTTAAGGATAATCACAGAATAGTTGAGGTTGGGAGGGACCTCTGGAGATCATTTAGTCCAGTCTTCTTGCTCAAAGCAGGGTCAAGCAGACCATGTTGCTCAGGTCTGATTCCATTCACATTTTTAATACCTCCAAGGATAGAGGCTCCACCACCTCTTTGGGCAACCTGTGCTAGTGCTTTGACCACCTTCACATTAGAAAAGCATTTTCTCGCATTCATTGAATCTTGTGGGTTTCAGTTTGTGCCCATTGCCTCTTGTCCTGTCACTGGATGCCACTGAGAAGAGCCTGGCTCTGCCTTCTTTACACCTTCCTTTCAGATATTTGTACACACGGATAAGATCCCCTGAGCCTTCTCTTCTCCAGGCTGAACACTCCCAGCTCTCTTAGCCTCTCCTTGTATGAGACATGTTCCAGCCCTCTCAAACACCTTCATGGCACTCCACTGGATTCGCTCCAGTAAGTCCGTATCTTTCTTGTACCCTGACCTGGACACAACCCCAGCCTGGACCCAGAACTCCAGATGTCTCACCAGTGCTGAGTACAGAGGAAGGATCACTGCCCTCGACCTGCTGGCAATGCTCTTCCAAATGCAGCCCAGGATACCATTGCAGCCGCCTTTGCTGCAAGGGCACATTGCTGCCTCATGATCAGCTTGGTGTCCACCAGGACCCCCAGGTCCTCCCCTTGCAAGCTCCTTTCCAGCTGGTGGGCTGGCGTTACTCCTCCCCAGGGGCAGGACTTTGCTTTTCTCTTTGTTGAACTTAGAATCGTAGAATCATTAGGGTTGGAAAAGACCTCTAAGATTGAGTCCAACCATCAACCCAGCACCACCATGCCCACTAAACCATGTCCCTAAGTGCCGCATCTACACATCTTTTAAATAATTCCAGGGATGGTGACTCAACCACTCCCCTGGGTAGCCTGTTCCAATGCTAGACAACCTTTTCGGTGAAGAATTTTTTCCTAATATGGGCACACGTTGAGTCCATTTCCTCTCGTCCGATCGCCAGTTACTTGGGAGAAGAGACCGACACCCACCTCGCTACAACATCCTTTCAGGTAGTTGTAGAGCACGATGAGGTCTCCCCTCAGCCTCCTTTTCTCCAGGCTAAACAACCCCAGTTCCCTCAGCTGCTCCTCATAAGACTTGTGCTCCAGACCCCTCACCAGCTTCGTTGCCCTTCTCTGGACACGCTCCAGCAC